AGGTGATGAAGGACTGGTAGTAGAGAACAACTTTTGGGAAAGCAAAGCTATGTAAAAATTCAATAGAAACGTCAGCTCAACTCATAGCATTTGGTGAAAATTCTACTTCTACCAGTCCTTCATTACCTTAAACGTAATTGGGTGAATACATCTTACAACTGATTTACTGGTAGTCACGACAAATAATACTTAATTAGAAAAAATGTTTTAAGAAAGTCCCAAAATTGAAGAGTCGTGAGAACATCAAAAAGGGATAGTTGACTGTTCTGCCTAAATAAGCTGGTATTCAAAGCAAGTAGGCTTCGAGGCTATCGATCGATCTTGAGCAAGAGTTATAATCGCCCTGAGTCGAGGATGAAGAGGAGTTTTTCTCCAGTTCGATGTTATGGCCTCATACTGCAACTTAATTTTACTTTTTCTTGCTATTCCCCAAAACATTCTGGTTTACGCGGGCCAATAGGCGATCTCCTGGTGAGAACTATTACTTGTCATATGACATCCTCAGAAATGGTTACCCTTATTAAAACTAATTAAAGTCAAAAAAAACAAAAATTTCTCCGGCATAGTCTAACATGCTCTATGTTTTTAAGTTTTATATATATATATATATTTATATACACTTGCTTGTGTTTGTATGTATGTATGTATGTATGTATGTATGTATGTATGTATGTATGTATGTATGTATGTATGTATGATGTAAGCATGTATGTATGTATGCATCTATGAATTTGTTAGCTTCTGGTAATTGGGGCAGAAAGTAACATCTTATTGGATAAGTCCATACCCTCGATTGCTTGAAGTGATGCGCGTTTCGTGAGTTTTGGCGAGTATAAGAAGTGTGATTGAAATTCGAACCCATACCAAAAGGATACGTTGTGTGGCCTCCTTTTGTATAGGCGGCTCTACACACTATACCTAGTCTGTTCGTTTCAAAGAATTCCGAAATTTTTCACTTTTTAGTGGAGATACCATTTTTTTTCATGTAAATACAGTTTCGAGACTACCAGTAAATCAGTAATATGAGATGTATTCATCCTATTTCGTTTAGGCTTATGAAGAAATGATAGTAGAATTTTCCCACATTTATATGATTAGAGCTGACGTTTCCATTGAATTTCACATAGCCTTGCTTTCGCAAAAGTTGTTCTCATCCAGGCAGAAGTGGACTGCGGTTTCTACCTCGCATTAGTCTCATCAACACTCCCAGCGGGAGTCAAACCGTGACATTGCAGCATGTGAGCTTGACACGTTAACCACACTGCCACATTGTCACAAGTGCCCATGAATCACGGGGCAGATGTGAATTTCAAGGAAGGCCGGGCCTTGTCCCATATCACATTCTTTGGTGGGAGTGTCGATGAAGCAAACCTATTTTTGTTATAACACTCTACTGCACTACTTATTTTTCGTATATGAGTGCAGTTTCGAGACTACCAGTAAATAAGTTATATGGGATGCATTCACCCAATTTCGTTTAAGCTGATGAAGGACTGATAGTAGAATTTTCCTACAATTATATGAACCAAGCTCACATGCTTCACTGTTACTGTTCGACTCCCGCTGGAGGTGTTGGTAAAGTCTATATGGTGTTGAAACTGCAGTCCACTGCAGCCTGGATGGGAACATCTTTTGGGAAAGCAAGGCTATGTGAAATGCAATGGAACTGTCAGCTCTACTCATATCATCTCACCTTAAACCAAATAGGGTGAATACATCTCATATAAACCTCATGGAGATAACATTGTCATGATCGACAAAAAGACACACTTGTGTCCATCCCATCCCATGACCAGTTCAGCTGTCCGTGACAGGAAGCAACCAAATCCTATAACACTGCATAGCGTCTAAGTATATCCACAAAATTTAACGAAAATCCGGAGAGTTTTAGTTACTCTTTAGATTGGGTTAGTCGTAATAATGGTACCCAGGCCTGACAAGTTTGGCCCGTCTTCACCAGCGCTTCCAGTACTGCAAAAATGAGTTCTCTCTCCTCTTCCTATGATATCCATCTATACATTTATGTATCACAGTTCAATGCTAAATCAAGAGATTGCTCGGAAAACACTTTTTCTTCATAGACATTTTCGTCCATAATTCGAATCGCACTGGTCATTTGGACGACACCGTTTCTCGGCTTGCATTGCCGTGTAAAATTCACACTTCGTTTTCAACGCTGACATGCTTGCTTACTTACTAGCAAGTTGAATAAAGGACTCGTTAACCGATGCAACAGCAATTTCCTCACCTGCCTTCTGTCATTCCTCTCGAGCCTGTGGGCGACCCTTTATCGGCCACTAAATTCGGTCTTGTCGGCATTCACTGGATCCATTTATCACAGCTCCGTCGGCCAGGCAACCAGAGTTGAGCCTACGGGCTGCTGGAAAGTGTGACTGGAGAGCTAGACTGCTGGACGGTCGATTTACGCACAGACCCGTTGGGGCGGTCATACAGACACCGTCAGACCGGGTGTGACTGGACAGAGGTGTGGATGCATGGTCGAGATGACAGGTGGCTGCGTTTCACACTCTTTTAGTGTCAGTGCTTCGCAGACGCGGCTCCGGCACTC